TCACATCCAGTACACACAGCCTAGTCACCATCATTGTGCTCTAGTTCCTTTGTCATTTCAGCAACTCTTTACAAAATGCACCAACACTCAAGAATATTTTTCGGGCAGTGGTATCATGGAAACTCAGCTATCCCCTACATTACTATTCCTTCTGCAAGGAATTCTGAGACAAAAAGGATTTAGGTGTTTTTAGCTCCCTAATATTCAAAATGCTGTTGGACAATCCTCTTTCTGGAGTTTGGATTTTTTCTTGTACAGTTGACTTACTCTTACAAATGGATTGCATATTTTCTGCTTCATCTCCACAAATAACACCAGATCCTCCTGTCACTATTCCTGCCTCCCCTTTCTCCAGGGGTGAAAGTAACTACATACACTTACCGGTACGGGGCCGCAGCCGGGGCCAGCTCCCGGAAGGGGAGGGGCCTCGGGCGGAAGGGGCAGGGCTGAGGGTAAGCATCCCCCAGCCAGCCCTCCCAGGCCGCCTGGCCCGCGCTGCCCTGGGCTGCAGTGGCGATTTAAAGGGCCAGAGCCCCGGGCAGTTGCTCCCTTTGCCCCGCCTACCGCCTATCGGTGGCTGAGGGGGCAAAAAGGGCAGGGACGTTAAAGCGCTGCAGGGTCCTTTGCCATGGCAGTGCTTTAACGTTGCTGTGCCCCCCCCCCCCCGTCAGTGGCCCTGCTGGTAGGGCCGCCAATGTGGGGGGGGGCAGCAACATTAAAGCGCTGCCGCTGCAAAGGACTGTCCTTAAAGCGCTGCCCCTTTTGCCTCCCCTGTCTGTGTCCCTGCCGGTAAAGACCCTACCAGCAGGGCTGCCGATGGGGGAGGCAAATGGGGCAGGGACATTAAAGCGGTGGGCTGCATACGGGCCGGTGCGGGTTCTTACCGGTACCCTGTACCGGTCCATACCGGCTCACTTTCACCCCTGCCTTTCTCTCAGGTTCAGAGCTACACTGGACTAGAAATAACTACCTAGCAAATGGGAATTTCTGAAGGAAAGAAAAGAAAAGAAAAGAAAACAGAAAAGTCCAGTTTATTTAGGTCACAGTTCAGGACACCTGCACCTGTATGCCCCCTCTATGGTTTACCAAGGGTACCCTTTCTAAGGCTTCTGGCACCCCAGTGATCACCTATCTTGAATGGAGATACATGTCTCTCTCTCCCTCCTGACCAGGGTATGTCCAGATTGGACAGTTCCAGGCTGCACTGTAAATTCCCCAGCAAGTCAGACTGCCTGAGCAGCCTGCTTTGCTTTTCTCCTCAGAGGCTATAAATAGAATAATTGTTCACAGTTATAAGTTGCCAGCTTTTCCTAAGCAAGCACATTCACTCTTAAGGTGAAAATATTACAGAGAAAACATTAAAAACAATAAAAACCTACTTGCATGTTAATAAGCTTACCAGAGATCATTCCAGTTGCAACAAGGACTCTGGTAGGAGTCAGTCCTTCAAACCCCACCAAGGGTTTTTTCTGTGGTCACAAGTTAAAAGCTATTAGCTCAGAATTGTCACACCCATGATTCTCTGAGTCACTCCTTTATACAGTTTGGGCCTCTGATCTTTTCCTCACATAACAAGTGGGCAGCAGACAAAAATCCCCTCCTGATGGCAAAGTTTCAAAAGGCTGAGATCTTGAATAACCAGGGGGATACATTTGCATTTTAATACAGTGAACTCATAAGATACTTAAACTTAATTCAGTAAGGTTTTCCAGTATATTGCAGGAAATTCCCATATCTGTCACAATTTATTTTTGATTTTAGCAAATAGGAAATATGCTGTCAACAACACAAGGGCATCTGCCAAACTGTACACTGCTCACTGGCCAAAATTCAAAACTGATTTTAACCTTAACTCAGAGGACCAAATTTAGAGGCAATGAGTAAAAAGGGTATAAGTTACACAGTAGTAAAGGATCTAGTCTAGATAAGAGGTAGGAAGACTGTGTATATTCCATCATTTTAGATTCCTTTACATGAATTTAGATTCACCTCTGCATTTGGCCTTTTGCACTTTGATATATAATTTATCTTATAAATATAATGCTATAAAACTATATTTGTAATATTGGAAAAAGCCAAAGCTACATTATTTGTATATTTAAACAGAAAAACTATGGTTAAAAATATTATATCAAAACTTAAAATATTAACAATTTATGCTAAACATACTGTATAATATAAAAATAGGTGGCCAAGGTAGATAGTAATTAAAAACATGCATTATAAATGAATTTGATTTAGTGAAATACATTTTGACACAGCAGTTGTTTCTTGTCAGTTCAATGACTTTTCCTCTGGGGATATTTCTCCTAGCTATAATGTACGTGCTTCAAATGATAATCTGTTTATACACAGAGATGTTTTTTGTCTGAATGCATGCAAAGTTTTATAGGAGCTACAGTTTTGAGGTTTCATAGTTTCGAGCCATCAATGGTGGATTTTAAAGCTGGTTATGTTACAGAATGTCATGTGTGGTAAACAAGACAGAAAAATAAGAGTTTAATCACAAATGTAATGTAGAAATAAAATGAACTCTATGACACGAGGTCTAATCTTAACTATGGGTAGGTAATGCGTCTACTTCAAATAAAATTGTGGTCTCTTCTTCAACACGCTCCTCGAACCCCTCAAAGATAACAGTTAATCAAATAATTGTGACATGGAGTGTTTGTGGAGAATTTGTATACAATGCTGCCCAAGGGAAACATAAGGAACAGTTGTGGGCACGGAAGTGTTGAGAATTATGCCAAACTGTGTTAAAAGGAGTTAACTGATGTGATGTATGAACACAGTCTGGTTAGAGTACACAAGAAGTGGTTTGTCTCAGACATTTCTTTCAGCTGCTAACTCAGACTTTCAGTATATTATGTTTAAGTATGTATAGCTAAACATTCCTCAGACAAGTAGTAATTAGGTCACTGAATGGTGAAGGAGACAAAGCCCATGGATTTTCTCACACATCAGGAAGTAATTACAAAAATTTCCTTGACTGAGGCTCAGAAGATTTCAATGTTTGGGAGAGAAGGGTTACCTGGAAGAAAATTTTGAACATGTATTGTAAGACTAAAAGAGCTTTCCAGTTCTCCGTGGTTGATGTGAACAGTCTGTTGTCTTTCTTGCATCTGATTAAGTCAACATACTAAAAAGGCTAAGACACTTTTAAAAGTAGAGATGGGCTGAAGCCACATAATTCAGATGCAAGTAGGTGTTCAAAGTCCATTATGTCCCTGGTGGTTCAGTCCATCATAATGAAAGGAGCCACTTGTGAAATTTGGATCTGGGTTCCAATTTCCATTTTCCTATTGTTCAAGGCGGTTTGGTTTTGGGAAAGGCTACTCTCCAACACTAATTTTGGGTGGGAAGGAGGGAGTTAGCATGCAGAGTTCAAAACCATGAGAACTCCATCAGCTCCTTAGAAGGAAATTTAGAGAACAATTCAGTATTGTGCAGGGGAGGTATGTTGGAGGGTTCAGTTCTCTGGATGGAAATCCCAGCTGGAATTCTAGCAGTATCAGAGGTGCCGACTCTGTGGGTGCTCTGGGGCTGGGGCACCCACAGGGAAAAATTAGTGGGCGCTCAGCACCCACTGGCAGCCAAGCTCCCCTTACCCCCCCCCCACCCCGAGTGCGTCACATCCCCGCTCCTCCGCCTACCTCCCAGCGCTTCCCCCCGCCTCTGCCAAACAGCTGTTTGGAGGTGTGCTGGGAGGGAGGAGGAGGAGTGGGAACGTGGCGCGCTCAGGGGAGGAGGTGGGGAAGAGGCGGGGCAGGGATTTGGAGAAGAGATTGGAATATGGGCAGGGAGGGGGCAGAGACTTTGGGGAAGGGATTGGAATGGGGGCGGGGCAGGGCCACATGGAAGAGGTGGAGAGGGGCAGGGCCAGGTCGAGCACCCAGGGGAAAGCAAGGAAGCCGGCGCCTATGAGCAGTATTCCTTCTAGCTGGAGCAGTAACTACTGCCCTCACAGAGGGTGTCACATGCTGATAGATTCATATCCAGCCAGTTCTGGAACAAGGGGGTGGAGGGGAGGGAGAAATGAAAGGAACAGGTCCCCACACATACTTTGCACCTCCCCACTTACCTTCAGAAACTTAACACCTGCAGTGCACAGAGAGAGTAGGGGCTGTTTACCCCCATGGGATTCCAGGCAGCTACTAGGCATGGTTTGTGTGTAGCTCCTTGTGCTCTCTCTCAACTTGGCCACCTGCTGACCAATCAGCCAGAATCTGGCCCTGGGTTAATACTTCCACTGTCTGGCCATGACACGGATTGTTATACCACTGATTCTGTGTAAACAGCTACTTGGACTGACTTATACAGTAATCTTCCTAAAGCTATAATTATGATACACATGGTGTTTTTTTGTTTGTTTTTTAACATAGAGCTGTGGGGATAGGAAGGCAGGCATGTAGGAACATTATCACAGTCTGATAGTGATTTGGTAGTTAATCACAATAGTTTTTCTTCTGGTCTTGCACCTGCTTCAAAGAAAAAAATATCTTTTCAAGCCAACTATGGCCTTAGTCCTAGAAAGAGAACTGCTGGACTGTACCTGTATATTTTCACTTGATTGGGGCCTAAATTGTTTCAGAGCCACTTAGATCCAGAAAAAATAAAAGAGGGTATAAGGCACTATTTCAAAACCACACTACAACTTCACAAGATTTAAATCAATGGGCCTGTACTCTCCATAATAAACAGAGAGTGAGGTTTTCAAAAGCACCCAACAGAGTTAGGCATCCAACTTCCTTAGGCATTTTGAAAATCTCCCTCTCAATCTATTTGGCCATATGTTTTTAGGAGGATCCACATAAATAACTGTCAGCCTAGATCTGCATGACCGAGATGAGTGCTGATCCCCTTTGGCTGACTCATATAGTGGAACCTGCTATTTTTCTCATCTCATATAATTTGTGTAGGACATTGGTATTTGGTGCATCACACGTATTTTAAAAACTTTGCAGTAGATTTATGGGTTGTTGTTCTGTTTGTTTTTCTAGTTGGATATACAATGAACGATCTCATTTTTGAATGGCAAGAAAAGGGAGCTGTACAGGTAGCAGAAGGGCTCACTCTGCCACAGTTTCTGTTGAAAGAAGAGAAAGATTTATGTTATTGCACCAAACATTACAATACAGGTAGGAGAGTTTCTTAGTCCATTACAACTGGAAAGACAGCTGCTGCTATTTTCTGTTGTTTTAAATACATCATTTAATTCATCTGAAGGTTATAACACTACAAAACACACACAGAATACCATGCCCTTAAAGCAACAACATAATGAAACAAAACAGTTGCCTGATGGTTGAAAAGATTTCTAAATTTTCTTATAAAAGTTTATTTAGGAAAGATAGACACCTGAAATACATTAGTTATGCAGAGATGGGTCAGCCAGTATGTCAGCCAGGCTTCATTGTTCTGCAAGTGACTATGAGGGCAGAGTAAATAAAGTGCTTTTAGTAAATAAAGTATTATTGTTCTTGTTATTACTAATGGGGAAACTGGAAAAAAAGATAATCTGCTGAGGCCCAAATGTGGGATTCAATCGCCGACAAAGACTTCAAGTCTTTGAGGTCCACGCTAAAATTATTCATGCAGGAAAAACTATTGTGGGATTCAATTCCTTTAGTGCGGGTGGGGAGGGAGCCCTAACTTCTTTATTTGTGATGGAAATAATTTTCAACAATTAATGTGAGAGAACACCCAATTTGTGTGGGATGTAGTTAATTTTGGGAGATGAATCACGTCCTTTCAAATTATGGACTTCTGAGAAGTATGGCGCAAAATTAGGGTTAATATTTTGGGTCACCTAAATATGTTGACTGTTACTTAATGGTTCCTTGGAGGAAGGGGTGTAGTGGGGGCAGGCCTGGGGCGGGGGTCAAGCACACACACACACACCCCGGGTAGAGAGGAAGTTGATGCCTATCCATTCTAGACTGAGGAGCAGCCCATAGGCAACTGTGGGGAGACTGCATTACATCAGGAAGCATACTGTTCCCCAGCACAAGCAGAAACCGGGCAGCACAAAGATAACTTAAAAAGTCACCTTTGTGTCCACTCCCCCCAGGCTGTGCCTTCGGGACACACCTCTCAGGAGGTCCAGCTCATGGTCTAGCCTGGAAGCTTTACTTTGTTTTCCAGTCTTCACCATGGGGTTAATTCCATAAGACTGGAAGATTTTTTGTTTTTTGGAGGATGGGGGAGGTTGTTTTAGTCCTTACATCTTTGTCTTCCCTTTTCTACAGTGGGTATCACTGTTGTGTGGGCAATAATAGTCGCTGGCAAGAGAATGTAATAACCCGAGAGTTTCATTTCGATCCATTATGTTATGCTAATATGTGATCACTTATGTGCAGTTTGCACTTGAGGACTCATTGTTTATCTAATGCACTCAATGTGAATCTGTGCACTGATACTCCATCACAAACATATTATCAGGAAATCGTTTTTGAAAACTAAAACCTCTCACTCAAGCATACATCAGAGTAGATTAAAAGGGTTATTAAAAAAAGATGCTTCACAACTGCAGATATCATTTGTTAACTGCCCAGCTATCATTTCAATCTAGATGTAGTTACAACACAAGATATGAAGCTCTTTTCTGCGGCCTGGTCTACACTAAAAAGTTAGGTCGAAGGAAGCCACCCTAAGTCGACCTGTTAATGTATGTGTCTACACTAACGGGTCCTTTGTGCCGACCTAAGTCGCTTCTAATGTCGACTTCTGTAATCCATTTCTGCGAGAGGCATAGTGAGAATTCGATTTTCATGGATCGACTGCGAGGTAGTGCAGACGCAGTGTTGTGTAATTCAACTTAATTGGGCTCCAGGTGCTGTTCCATAATGCTCATCTGTGACCGCTCTGGAGATCATTCTCAACTCTGCTGCACTGCAGTCAGGTACACAGGAAACAGCACTTCCCCTGCTAAAGCCCTGGGAATTTTTGATTTCCCATTTCCTGTTTGATCAGCATTGAGAGCATGCCAGCTTGAGCACAGCTGATCATGGAGACTACATTCCCCAAATGTGCTCCAGCCTGGTCTGCACAAGAGCTGGTGGATCTTATCACTGTGTGGGGAGAAGAGTCTGTGCAGGCAGAGCTCCGATCCAGCAGAAGAAACGCTGACATCTATGCAAAGATTGCTTGTGGAATGGGGTAGAAGGGCTACACGAGGGACACACAGCAGTGCCGTGTGAAAATAAAAGAACTTCGCCAAGCATACCAGAAGGCAAGGGAGGTAAATGTGATTCTCGGGGGTGACCCTACCAGCACCCCCACAAGCAACGTGGACACCTCACAAGTGTGTGAGTCTAAGGACAACAAGGAGGATGATATGGTGTATGAGGAGGAGGAGGAGGAAGAGAATGGGAGACAGGTGAGTGGTGGATCCATTCTCCCCGAGAACCAGGAAATATTTTTACCCTGGAGCCCTGTGGGTCACAGGACATCACAGTGGCCGACCATGATGCCAAGGAAGGCACCTCTGGTGAATATACAGTTACAATCAAAGTCCAGTTAAACTTTAGTGGGCACATACATTCGGTGGTATTGCATGTTTACTGTGAAGAAAAAGTGAGGTACTGTGGTTCTCTGCTTACAAGAGGCCGCTCCAGAAAAGACTGTTTATGTGAACTTGGATAGTCCGGGAATCCTCCATGGATAGCTCTAGGAAACTTTCATGGAGGTACTCTGCAATCCTTTGCAGAAGGTTTCTGGGCAGGGCAGTCTTACTTCTTCCACCAGTGAGGACACTTTCCCACGCAACTCCTGAATAAATTCTGCTGGCATCATTGCAGTACACAGCATAGCAGGATAAGGACCAGGTCTATACCCAGACACTTGCAGCATCTCCTTCATTTCCGCCTCTGTTACCCTCAGGAGACTGATATCATATAGGGTTGCCTAGGGGAAACAGGGGAAGTTCTCATTAAAAGTGCTCTTACAAGAAAAAAAAAGGGGGGGAGCATATAGACCCACCCCACCCCCAGACATTCCGGATCGCCAAACCACACAGCCGCTAATGTGCCTTTACTGTGCTCAGCATGGGTCGGCAAGTAGTTTAAAGTGGCTGATAAGGGACTGTGGCCCCTCATGAGAGATTCTGCAATTTGGGAGTGAAAACGTTCCCCCCCAAACTCCATTTGTAAACAGTTTCTCATGGTGCTATGGAGAAGGGCCATTGTTTGACTAGCTACCTCTGCTCCTGACATGAGCCTGCCATAAACTTCATTAAAAGTGTGGTCAACCATGACCAGGGTTGGGGCTACTCAGCATGGCTGGAACAGCAAAACGGCACAGTGAACGGTTACAGATTCTGATTATGTTATGGCTTACACCTAGTGTAATAAGGGTTTTTTTAATTTTATTTATGTACAATGGCTCCTTTATTTTTTCCCATGACTGACAGCTGGAAATGTGTCCTTCGGCATGTCATCAACATCTGAAAGCAGACTTTTGCTGATTAGAAGGAGGAGATAGAGGATGCGGGAGTACATATTCAGCATGATAATGAATGCCTCCGGGACAGCTGACACACAGCTGAGAGCATGGACGATTTCACTGTCCAAGAAGTTAGACATGGACATGGAGAACAGGAAAGCTTCCAATTAGCAAGAGCGTGTGGCACAGGATGAGATGCTCTGTTTATGAGGGACCAAGCAGACATGTTGAGGCATCTGGTTGAACTGCAGGAACAGAAGGAGGGTAGAGTCCCTTTGCTGGCTGGTGGACAGCCAGCCAGCATCACCTGGTGCAGAATCACCCTCCCCAAAGTGTTCCCTGAGGCATGGGTGAAGAGTCCATTATCCCTTTCACTTAACTCAGGGGGAAGGTACAAGGAACAGAAGGCGCCCACTCGCAGACCTTTGATGGTCTGGAATGCGGTATTATGTTACACAGATGAAAATGTTTCTCCTATTCCAACTTTACAACCCCTTTTCCCCAAGGTTACCTTTTTTTCTGTTCTCCCTCTTTACTTTGTTTGTTAAATAAAGTAAATGGATTCGAGAAATAAATGTTCTTTATTGAGTAGAAGCAGTGGGCTTGGGCAGGGGGTTGGCTTTACAGGGACAGTGATACAAGCCAGGTCAAGGTTTGGAAAAGCACAATGCAGACAAGCAGCTCACATTACTTTGACTCATTATTGAAACGGCTTTTCAAAGCCTTGTGGATACACAGCACCCCTTGCTGTGCTCTTCTTATCGCTCACGTGTCTGGCTGCTCAAAAATGGCTGCCATGCGATCTGGCTCAACTTCCCACCCCTGTGGAAAATTCCCCCCTTTTTTTCCCCACAGATATTATGGAACACACAGCAGGCAGCTATAACCATGAGGATGTTCTTTTCACTAAGGTCCAACCTTGTTTTAAACTTCTCCTTTAAACAACCAAAGGCACATTCAATCACCATTCTGCACTTGCTGAGCCTATAGTTGAACCATTCCTTATTGCTGTCAGACAGCCGGTGTATGGCTTCATGAGCCATGGTAGCAAGGGGTAAGCTGGGTCCCCCAGGATAACTATTGGCATCTCAACATCGTCAATGTTCATTTTGTGGTCTGTAAAGAAAGTCCCAGATTGCAGCTTTTTGAACAGACCAGAGTTCCTAAAGATGTGCGCATCATGAACCTTTCCCGACCATCCTACGTTGATGTCGTTGAAACGGTCCCTGTGATCCACCAGCGCTTGCAACGCCATTGAAAAGTATTCCTTTCAGTTTATGTACTCTTTGGCAAGGTGGTCTGGTGCCAAGGTGGGGATATGCATGCCATCTATCGCCCTACCACAATTAGGAAACCCCATCACGGCAAAACCATCCACTATGTCCTGCACATTTCCCAGACTCACTACCTTTCGTAGCAGAAGTTTATTAATGGCCCTGCACACTTGGAGCACAGCAGCTCCCACAGTTGATTTACTGACTCCAAATTGATTCCCCACTGACGGGTAATTGTCTGGCGTTGCAAGCTTCCAAATAGTGATTGCCACTCACTTCTCCACTGTCAGAGCAGCTCTCATTTTTGTGTTGCTGAACTGCAAGGTAGGGGAAAGCTCTGCACAAAGTTCCTGGAAGGTGGCCTTCTGCATTTGAAAGTTCTGCACCCACTGCTCGTCATCCTATACCTGCAAAACGATGCG